GTAAAGGCAAGAGAGAATAATGAGCCAAAAGTAATTACTAAGGAGAGGAAAGGGAAGAAAGGAAGGAAAAGCAAAGACAAAAGTGAGGAAAGGAAGGAGGGAAGAAAGAAAGAAGAAAAGAAAGAAAGAGGAAAAAGAAAGAGACAGAAATGAAGGAAGGAAGGAAGGAAGGAAGGAGGCAAAAAGAAAGAAAGATAGGAGGAACAAAAGAAGGAAGGAAGGAAAAGGAAAAAGAAAAAAGGCAAAAGGAAGGAAGGAAGAAGGCAAAAAGAAAAAGAAAGGAAGGAAAGAAGGAAGAAAAAAAAGAAAGCAAACAGAGGGAGGGAAGAAAGGAAAGGAAAGGAAAGGAGTTTTCTGGGTGTATTTTGGGGGAAATTCATCTCTCTGCTGGAATATTTTTGGGGAAATTCTCCAAATTATTTTGTGCACTGACTTAGTCTCCGGTGCCGGACAAGCAAGTTAAGACCCGTCTCTCTTTGCTTTGACAATTCAGCTCTTTCACCTGCTGTGAAGATCAATGCCAAAGGCCGAGAGATCATCTACCTGGCCAAGGGGGAGTCGGTGAAGTTGGGGTGTCCATTTGAGCTGGAACCCCAAGATGATGGCCCCAATGACTTGGATATTGAGTGGACACAGATGAATGCTGATCCCACCAATTTGGACAATGTGGTGAGTTTGCTGAGGCCATCCAGACTCAATACTTATTCCAATGTTTCTAAACTTTAGCAACTTTAAGATGGGTGGACTACAACTCCCAGAATCCCCCAGCCGGCTTCCTTTAAGATGGGAGGACTTCAACTCCCAGAATTCCCCACCCATCTTGAAGTTGCCAAGCTTGAAAAAAATTCTGTTCAAAGTTTCAAACTCTTGTCTTAAAGATGGAACCTTCTTAAAGCTATTTGTTTTTTTAATAAAACAGAAGTATTAACCAAGAATCCAGGGAAGAATTGTATCATAATTAATGTCTATTTGTCCATCTTATTGGTAATTTGTAAGCTGCTGACTGACCTGATTTTAAAACCTTTCTTATGGCGGTCGCTAAATGAACCAGTGGTTCACTAGGGTTGTGCTTTTCCAAAATCCATAAGTGCATGCAGCTTTTTTGGCAAAACTGGCAGAAAAAGGGTCACGTGACCACAGGATGATGCCAACGGCCGTCAACGAACCTAATATGCCAAATTTACCTCCAGAGCTTGGTCACATGACTGCTTAACAGATTAAGAGAGTTGGAAGGGACCTTGTTGGTCATCTAGTCCACCTCCCGCCCAAGCAGGAGACTCTACGCCATTTCTGGAGTTGTCTCTTCTTGAAAGCTTCCCGTGATGAAGCTCCCACAACTGCAGAAGGCTTCCGACCATCAGAACTTCAAACCCGAGTCCTTAAGTTCCCTTTTTTGGGGGCCAGTCGTAATTCGAGGACTACCTGTGTACCCTTTTGGAAGACTTCGTCCTAATTAAGTTGCCTTCCCCAAGTCTTACTGGGAAAATTAATTAGATGATTTCATGCCTGATTCTGGGTGCTGGGTTTTAAGCTTGCTTGATCAGAGTTTGCAAAGCCGACAAAGAAAAAATGAATCAAAGCTAATCATTAAAATAAACAAACTTTATTTCTCCAGTTTTGAATCGGTGAGGAAAGTAGCATACATTTATACTTTAGATAATTATTTATTTCTGCAGTTTTGGATCGGAGGACGATAGTAGCACGATATTTGCAGACTTGCGGTCCAATTTCCAGATCAAAAGAGAGAGATTGAATCCAGCCAGTCTGCAAAAACACCGCCAACAGATCCCATTTCTCCTTAAGCCAATCAGAAACCTCTCTCTCTCTCTCTCTCTTTTTGTTTTTTTGATCCAACCAGTGCTGTTCTCTGCTTCCTGCCCATCAGATCCTAAGCTATCAAGGCCAGCAAGTGATCCACCCTGGACACCCATATTTGCATCCCAGGGGTGGGTCAGGAAACCAAGATGCCGGCCGCTTTAGTAACCCAGGATTTCAGCAGAGTGAAGGTGGTCAGCGGTTTGGGTCGGTTGACGATTGCTGCCATGGCTTACAACAGCGGGTCAACTTCGCCCTCCCGGATCCAAGCAAGTACGACGCCTCCATCAATCTCCAAAATGTTCAGATCTCTGACTCGGCCACCTACGAGTGTAAAGTGAAGAAGACCTCCGTAGCCACCCGGAAAGTGACCGTCAGGGTGCTTGGTGAGTGAGTGGTGACGACTGGACATGAGCAGAGCTCAGGCCCTTTGCACGACAGCAGTAGCCCTTAGACTTATATGCCGCTTCACAGGGCTTGAGTGCTTAGAGTGCCTCTAAGCAGTTTACAGAGTCAGCCTCTTGTCCCCAACAATCTGGGTCCTCATTTTACCCACCTCGGAAGGACGGAAGGCTGAGTCAACCTTGAGCCGGTCAGGATCGAATTGCTGGCATTGGGCAGAATTAGCCTGCAATAGTACATTCTAACTGGAAGGAAGGAAGGAAGGAAGGAAGGAAGGAAGGAAGGAAGGAAGG